AAATATTGCCATTAGATTCAAACAAAAACTTACAACTTTCTTGAATCTAAGTGTGAACAAGGTTCGTTCTTTCTGGTTCTAATCCGCACATACTCGAACATTAGTGGTTTCAACAAACAATGGTGAGATTTATGGCCTATTTTTAAGACTAAGGAATGTATTAAATTATCGGAGGCATAGTTAGAAAGACCGATGAACGTTAGCTTTTGGAATAAAATAACCATTGAATTTCTTTTGGTATTCTTCTGAAGACAAAATTATGTGCACCTAGAAAAAATTAGATGATTGACAAAAATTTAAAGTCATGATCAAACTCACTTACATTATCATTGGGAATAACCATATATCGGTTCATAAAATATTTTACAGCTTCTTACTTCCCTCAAATTTATTATAGCAAGAAAGGGATATTACAAAGATGATCAAAATCGGAACAGGGCGCATCGAACCGTAGCTAACCAAAACTGGAATCAAAATCTAGAACCAAGAATCCAAAAAAGGAAAACAATGTCCAAAATTTAACCCGGAGGCAAGCCAATTCATGGGTACCAAAGCAAAGAAATACAACCAATCGATACTGGATACACGCATATAGGAACACATGCTCACCAAACCAGAAACAGTAGGCGAATTTGCAACGACCGAAGCAAGATAGCCTTCATATCCACGACGGACAGAGGCTACAACAACGCATAAATCAGAAGAGCTTGTGCAAACCATGAAGAAAAATGTCACCAAACAAGAAAATAAACAAACCATCCACTCGAGGAGTCTCCAAATGATATTCAACAAACCACTCTAAATTAATGGAGCTGGCTAGCTGTTGATGTACATCGCCGATTGAAGAATTATTCTGAAAAAACGAGTGAAAAAGAAGTAGTCCACGGTTGGGCGAGGGATATGAGTCTCGAAAACATCTTCTTCAAAAAAGTAAGTCATCCAATAAACACACTAGACAAAGCCACAAACACTAATATCCGATTAGAGAGCCAAAACACCAAATAGAACTCCAGCAAACTGGAAGCAAACCAGCTAGGTTCGGCAAGAAACCCGAACAAACCCAAAGTCAACCAAGATGTCCAAAGAACAAGCCTCGATAAACCATCGAAAAGCTCCAAGAACCAACCATCTTCTGCAAACACACCTTCCAAATTTAGAACAAAGCATACAACCCATATGGCAAGTTCAATACAAGAACCTAAACCCCTTGTAAACAAGAGAATAGCCCCT